ACTCGCGAAGATGGCACATTCCAAAATGCCTGACCAGGGTTGAGCTCTTGATCTTCCTTCCTAGCGTTTTGAAAGCGATCTTGGCTTTTGAGTGGTTATTATCCACAAAAGGAGCATAATGAATGGAACCACTGATCGGTCAGTTTCTTCAGAACAATGACTCAACTCGAAGCCGTTTGCAATTCATTTCTAGTCACTTTCAGAAAGATTGGAGCATTCGCAATGACTGAAACAAATAGTTGAACTCGCAGGAAACCATGCGCAATGGGTACCGTATGCCGACCCCGCCTCATTCAATGATTGTCCATCATCCTTTCGCGAAATCCTCCTTTTGCCGAATGCTCAGTGCTCATTTAGGTCTCTCAGTGAGACGAAGTCAAACCTTTCGCCTTCCGAATTTTTGCGAAATACAATTCATTTCATTTTGTTTGTGCTTTTCACACATTCACCTACTTTTTCCCTCATTTTTTTCCATTTGAATAGAATAAGTGTTTTTTTTCTGTTTCTTTGTTCACTAATTGTTACCCTTGTCTTGGTTGAGTCTTGCTTCATAAACATCTTAGTCGCACTCCCGCTTCCGATGCCACCTCCGATTCGCACTTTGTCATAAACGAGCTATTTATCGTGCAATAAAGGTGATTCCTCTAATTCAGGAAGTTCAGTTCATTACAGCCTTCCACCGCAGTTCCGAATAGTGTAGTATAAGTAGTACGGGGATGCTATTGATTTTTTATTAGAAGTGGAAAATGTAGAGGGTTGGCCGGGGGTGGGTGGCAGACGAAATCGATTGCGACGAGGAGTGCATGGCTTGAGGGAGTGGGAGCGGGAGCGGGGGGCCCAGAGCGAGACTGAGAGGGCCCACGGATGGTGCCCGTCTAGGGCCCGCACGCATGTCTTTGTCAGCCAGTCCGGCTCCACCGGTACAGGGCCTTGGCCCACTGGTGGCTGGTGCCGGCCCTCCGTCCGGTGATTCATTACTGCTCACTCTGCGTAATAAACCGAACGCACGTGTATTTCGTGCATTATTCCAGTATCTACCACTGCGTGACTCCCCGAACGAGAATCCCCAGTTGGAGCTGGCCCTAGCGCCAGGTGATGTGCTGCTCGTCAAAGGCGAGATGGACTCGGACGGATTCTATCGAGCCGAAACACTCGACGGCAGGACCGGCCTGGTGCCGTCCAACTACGTCGAACGGGTACCGGACTCGGTGCTGCTCTGTAATGCCCGAGCTCCATCGCCGTCATTTCCCCTTCAAGTCCCACAGCATCATTCCACAATCACTCACGACTTCTCCGAACCCGATCACAGCCAACTTCCCGATTCGGTCTGTCCATATCCACCGGCTGACGTCTCCAAAGTTACGGTGCAGGAAATCAAGCAGAACGACACTCCCAGAGGTTTGTCGGCTTCATATTGTTCGCTTTTTTATGTTTTATTTTTGATTTTAATTTGTCCTTTTTACCCATTTTTTTTGCTAATCAGGCCGTTGTTCTTTTGATTCTGCCTAGCTTTTCTGTTTCTTCTGATGATTTCCTTCGCGTTTATCCTCCTGTTTCAATCTTTCCAGTTTTGCTGCACTTTTTATAGCCCACTTCTGAATTTTCTCATTTCTGAGCGACTGCCTGGAAAGTTTCCCTGCTTCTTCAATGCTGACTTTCAATTGAATTCATACTTGCAAGTTTTTTGCTGTTATGAAGGAGAGTAACTTTTTGCTCCGATAATTCTAATTCGTTGCGCCCACGCCTTTCACCACTTCTTTCCGGCAGAAGACGAAATGCTTCTACATGAAGTAGTCAGCATTGGCCATTTCTGTCCTTTTGGCTGTCATTAGGGCTGCTCGACATACCTGTATCATAGTTCGCATAGATACATGCAAACAAAAGCCGTGTCCGCTACTCCTTGCGGGCAGCGGGATCGATGCCCCGTACCTCAAAGGAAAAGCCTAACTCCACCTTAATACTCATCAACTACTCACCAACACAACCAACATCACACTGGCATACACATACATATTTATACAGCAATATGCACTGTTTGAATACACTAGATTCTGAATGGCTGAGCCGTGATCAACTATAAAATTATCAATCACTGTAAGTGCGACAAACAAAGCCACTCTTATTATGTAGTGAACTAGCTGCCCCGAATGAAGGTACGATCACTATGCCTCATCCGCGCATTTTACCGCATGTGACGTGTAGCCGTTGCTTTCTCCAGGTCATCATGCTATTTCTTTTTCGGATTCAGAGGCACAGTTGGGCCGAAGTCGTGTGAGCAATTCCCTTTGTGCTGTAGGATAGACACCTAGAAGGTAGTCACTAATGTGGCATATCGTGCACGGAATGTACCGCAAGACGCGCTAGCCTTGCTATTACTTTCAGAGCTCAGGGATAGATTCTCCCGAGCCTGGGAACGTTTTTATTCCGTTCATTTCTTGAAAAACGCGAGAATTTTTTATGGATGGCAGGTCATGATTGAATTCACCATCATGTTAGGTTTCGTGGTATTTCTCTTCACTGGAGGCTATCCAGGCGCTCGAAAAAGTTGCAGCGAATAGATGAAGCCTAGTGAGTAAAACCCTTGTGGCAGAGTCCAGCACTCGATCCAGTTCATTTTATGCGTTGGTTCTGCGGTCGGTGGCCGAGGTATGTAGATCGTAGGGATGAGTCGGCCCATTCATGGCAGTCCTTGCCAGGTATGTGTTGAGGTTTCGTAGACTTTGTTATCTTACTAAGAGTACGGTTTGCTATAACAGTTCTGCCTTGGCTGGGGAGCATTATTCACAATTAACCGACATCACGTAGCCCACATGAGCTTTACTTCCATGGAAGGAACACCTGCTCACGTGGAACGGTTTTTGGAGCGCTTGTCAAAGAGTTAGCGAGCTGCCATGCCACTTTCAGCATTAATGGGCCCAAAGCTCCTTAGATTTAGACTATTTTGGACATGTAATCCACAATTTCCAAGTGTCTTCGGAATTCGATGCCTCTGTATTTATCAAGTGCCTGGCTGGTAACAGGACTGTTTCCTGAGCAATAATCGAAGGCGAATCACGACAACTGGGCGCTATCGCAATATAAAGGGCCTCCTTTGAGGTTAAGCCTAGAAGAGGGTAGGAAATCCAGGAAAAAAATGAAAAGGCTCATGCTTCCTGAGAGCTTCTTGAGAGCCGCTCCTCCTCTGCCTTAGGCTGAGATCAATTTTCAACAAGAAGAGATGTTTCGTGCGGTTCGAAATTCTTTGCCACCTCAATGCCCCGTATATACGATAGCGCCGATAACTGCATTTCAGAAATCGGTGGTTCTGTATTCCACGATCGGGAAGTCCTAGTTTGTTTCCTATCAATTCAAAGGCTTGATTCTGTCGGTAAAATCACAAACTCGAGCCCATATTCGAGTTCATCACCTATAAATCGAAGGAGCGAGTATTAGCCAATGTCTGACAATTACTAATTTCCAGTGGCTGTTCTTCATCTATTGGTAAGCTTCCAACCCATATCTCTTTTACAGTCATGCTTCTTGACCTTCACACTGTAGGGCGAAAAACAGGTGTTCTGTTAGCACCTGAAAAGCAGTCATGTCCTTTTCCAAAGGCTATATGTATCAAAAAAACTGTAGAGCACACTAATCCTGATACGTTTACGCATGGTAGGCGAAGCTCCTCCGAAGTACAATGGGAAGTGAGGTTATCATTTAAGTCCAGGCTAAGACGCTGGTTAAGAAGCAGCCCAGGGTAGTAGATTTTTTCACCCCATAGTGGCCTTCTTTGACCCTTATATTGTTTGGGGGAGCGGTGGGATTGGAGAGGGAAGGAAATGGTGATTAATCATGCATGCCATTTTGCTATCGGCTAATATCTACTGGCTACCACGAAGCAATAATGAGAGGTCCTGAATGAGCTACGGCTTTTCTCGTTTTCCTCATGAAGCTCCTTGCTCCTTACCCCCCCCCCTTGTCTTCTGCTAGTTGGTACCAAGAAGCCTTCCAAAGACTTTCCGACATTGCTACGTTTCCCATAGCTGGTTTGCAAAGAAGAAATGTATGTGCAAGCATGAAGCAATTCATATGAAATACATTACGGAAGCTGTTTTGTTTAGTTCGTAGAGATATTTCAATGTGGGTTTTTTCTATGTCCTAGCGTTTGGGGGCTACCGATGTTTTCGCGTTTCGTGCCTTCGTACGAGCCTGTTTTAAGCCTGAAAACTTCCCCGGTTATTTCCTTTGCGGTTAGTACGGAAAGCATGAAAAAGGTAGACGTTCAAGAAGCTTTCCTCGTCTTTTTTCCTGAATGGATGGTTATACTCGCCGAGCATGATTGATTAAGGATAGTTTCCAGATGCTAACTGATGTTAGCAGTCTAGACTCCAGATGGGAATCAAGTCCTACTATTGCTTATCGGCAATAGTGTACGGAATTACCCTACGGGGCATTCTTCGTAGGATGGTTTTTGATGAGACCAGATTAGTCCCCCGTCAACCGCCGGGACCTTCCTTTCCTGCGCAAGCTTTCTATCCTCCGCTATGGTCCCTTCCTCCTGTGACACCAACACCTCGTGGAAGTGACGCGTATGCAACACAATGGTGTTTGAAGGGACACAATCATGATATGAATCTACCGTATGATATGACGGTAGATTTTTCGCTTCCCTTCCTCATCCTCCCTTCCTCTCTCCACTGCCCTCCAGCTGCCACTGCAGCACCATGTGGAATGAACGGAAGTGTGCTAAGCAGGTGTTTATATAGCCCTAAGAGTGTTATCACAACTATCCTGCTACAAAACATTGATATCTCAAATCCTGTAAGCTACCCGATTTGTTAGCGGTTTGTTTATCCCATGAGCTTCCTTCTCACTCACTTCATTTTGCGGACGGACACACATACATACATACACACGCACACACACACACACACACACACAGATACACAAACCGACACACAAAGTTAGCGCTTTATATAATAGAAGGATACCACATTATTATCAGCACTCACACGTATGACATGATGAGCCGATCAGCCGGCATTGGTTGTGAGCCGCAAGGCTGAAAGCTCTGGCATATATTAATTTTGACTTATTTACTTTGTTTTTATTTACTTTGTTACCTGCTGTTTTTGCTTTGCTGTCACTTTACGAGTCTTCCACAGGGGAAGTTATTAGCAACTTTGCAAAGACGTGAATCCGAACCCGCATCTTGCTTATTATGCAGTTGAGCAAGGGTACCTTTACTCTAGCCGGAAAGGTGTTTCAGGTCATGCACCGCTTTCTAAAACGGTTCCCTTCATGGTTTAGGGGAGCGTGCATGGAACACAGCACAGAATAAGGTTTTAGAATGAGAAGATTTAATTATAACACATGAATTGGGACTGTTTTTCCGAACGCCCTTCTGGTATTCTCATAAAATTGGCGTGAAAGACCGAGGTACCACCTATTTGGTACTGTTTGGCAAAACTTACTATTGGAGTACTCGAGGTCCTGATTGTGAATATGATCATTGTTGCTGCAGGGTTCCATTTAAGCGTTCATGCTAGCTGCAAGCAATGCAAAAACTGTCGTTCGCGCGGATTCAAGCATGAATCCATTGCGTCGATTAAGTGCTTCTTGAGTATAGTCAACCATATCTTTGTATTATGTTGACTCAGTTTCATTACCACCACTTTTCTACATTAACAATTGTGATATTATTCCTTTTATTGTGACTTTTTTAATTTATTGTCTGCCTAGAAGAAAAGCCTGCCAAGTTTGGACAGCTTGCTCTGCATGAATTCTCTCCACCCTTTCATTCAGGGAAATTCCCTTGCACGGCATCATTATGTGCAGAAAAACTGCCATAATGACCTATAATCTACTGTTTTTTTTATTATTTATTATTTTTCCAAGTAGTAGTGCGGAGTGTAAAGCGAGGCTGGTTCCAGTGCCATGTCCCCGTGAGTTGGTCGTGGAGAAGAAGATGTCGCGATCGGTGGTGGTCGCCTGGTCGCCCCCAGAAGAATCTTTCGTTGCTGTCTCACAGTATCATGTCTGCGTGGATGGCCAGGTGCGAGCTGTCGTTCCTGGTTCGTACAAGGTATAAATTTAGCCTGATTTTTCTTTGCTTTTCTGTTTTTTAATAATTTTCTTTTTCCTTGGTCAACTTCTTAATTTTTGAGTTACATATTGCCCGAGTAACTACCTCTCGGAATTCTTTCTTTTAACCACCCCTTCCGCTCCTTGCCTTCCTTATGTCTCTCCTGACATCCTTGCAGTTGCAATTGAATCCGATGTCCCTTTTCGCACAGACGTGTTTTTGTTTTCCGTCTCTCATTTGCTCTCCGTGACATGGAAAGCTCGCGCGGAAAAACCTCAATTAGATCCTGGCCATAAAATCGCACATGCACGTAGCATGCAGTTCCCGCAGCATGCTTCCACTCCCCTGAAATGTTCGGGAGCTCGACTCACTTAATCATCTGTAATATGTCTTAATTTGCTGCTTATTCAGTGCCGTGCACTTGTGGAAGACGTCGCTCTTGACGGCTCGGTAAACCTCTCCGTTCGGGCGCTGTCCGACCAAGGGCACAGTCCCGATGCGGCCTGTACGATCACGCTCGGAAACGGTGAGTTCAAAAACTCCAATTCGTACTCATGTGCTCAGTCTTTTATGGCACATCGCCAGCAGAGCTCTTCTGGTCGTCCCTTGCCTTCATGTGTCTCATCGTATCTACTTCGCTCGTGTCTAATTTCCCTAATAGGCCTGACTCGATGTGCTCCACACCGCGACTTATTCATGCTTTCTCGCGGGCAGTGTGTGGGCGCACACTACGAAAGGAATCGCTCAGAGCGTCCGGAATCCAATTGTTCGGGAACAAGTTCGGGCTTCTTGGCCATGGCTTTGAACTTCTGGCCCATAAAGCGAAAATGTTTGCCGCATTGCGTGCTCGGTTTTTCCTTCTCGCTCATTAAGGCCTCATAGTGGGGGGAAATATACGGCAAGGAGCATCTATCCAGAAAACATGCAGCAGTCTTCCTGCTCCCTATTGATCGCTCTTTTTGTCAGGACTAGGGACTTACCTAGCGAGGGCCACATAGGGAAGCTGGCTACGCGCCGGGCAGGGATTCGGCTTCTGATGAGACGAACCGGAAAATCTTGTCAACAAACAATCAGAACTGCCTCTGTCAAATGGGCAAGCTTGTAAAGCCTACACCTCCAGCAACATTATATTTGTTTGGAGAATTTCGTGCTAGCATAATTTCTTCAAAATTTCAAACCAACTCCCAAAAGGAAGAGGGAAAACCAAAGTCAAGGTCACATGTCCCCCTCACTTCTGCTTTACAACTAAGTATAATAGAATCAATCTATGTATCTCACTGGAGGATTAAATTTTAGGGCGCTATCGCAAAATACGGGGGCATTTTTTGGCAATGCATTTGAAATCGCTTAAAACATGTTTTTTTTTGAACGGGACCAAGCGCTAAGCGGGGGAAGAAGCCCTCCAGATGCACCAACCATTTTCATTCTCCTCAGAATTCCTGCCCCTCCTACGCTCAGTCTTAGAAGATGTCCCCGTATACTGCGATAGCGCCAGTCCCAGTGTTCTTGAGATCTGTACGCTACATAACCAGCTATAGCAGCTGGGATTTCTGCGATTTTGTGATGAACATGGGCTTCTGTGAAGAAACCGTGTTGGGAGCGCTCCCTTTCCAACTGGAAAATTTCCAACAACGTAAAGGTGCTTTCCTCTGCCTCACGACTCGCTAGAATTGCTACGGTAGCATTTTTTTCGACAATATTTTGAAATCACTGCAGAGATCTTTCTGCTTTTGTTTAGCTGCCGAAAAAAGACGCAACATAGGAAGAAATTCGACGCGGCTCAAACACAAAATTTCCTCGAAATTCATTATATCAGCCAGAATTTCGTATTCATTGTTTCTGATTCTGGTTACTCTCCGAGTGCATGGCTCATTCCGAAAAGAGATCGATTGCTACTTACCTTTACACATCTAACTTTATTATTGAATTAACAACTACTAATGCCTTTACGTAGTTTTTTGTAGTCCTTTCTGCATTCTTTCACAAGCTGGGGTTAGTTTTAATGATTAATATTTAATGAGCTGATATGGAACCGTTCAGCGAGCGCGTCGATACATAGCTAAGCGCCCCAATAATTCTTTTCTTTTGAGCCGGTCGCTGCTATTCAGGCATTTGATGCACTTTGAGTGCAGGGGCACGAAAAACAATAGCAACCGGAAGGTGCAGGGATTACTCTCTTAGAATGTGCACGAATGCGTTCCGTTCTTGCAGAGGCCGCCGTTGCACCGCAGCATCTTCGGGTGTGGGCCGTCACGCCGTTGTCGGCCTGCGTTCGATGGTATCCGTCGAACAGCAACGCGGACCACGTGGTCTCGTTGAACGCGGTCAAAGTGGGAGTCTGTCCGCCAACAGTTTTCCAGGTAAGCTAATGGTTCAATCGAACTAGTCTGCTTCTTTCGATCCCACTCTTTCTTCATCTCTTTCCCTTTATTTCTCTCCGTCTCTCCGTCTTTCTCTCTCTCGGACTCCTTCAGGCGTCCCGTTGTCTGTCCTTCGCTTTATTGATATCCGATATGGGACGCTTCGCGCTTTTGCATTCTTTACTAAATTAAAACGTCGCGGCGCAAGTCTCCCCGTTGAGACGTGACGTCTCGCAGAACAACTGAACTCCTTCACAGGCCCCAGAACAGCATATTGCCTTCAAGGGCGAGACCGCGTTAAGCGGCTCAAAGGAACTCCTCGAGAAGATTCTTGCCTGAATCCTTCTTAGAAACACATTCTAGCATTAAGCGAGCCCTTGGGACTTATGTTTAACTGCTAACTTCTTTGCATGTTTAACTGCTAACTTCTTTGCCTTATAGCTTAATACACTGCATTCCATTTAGCGATACAATAACGCGTTCTGGGGTATCTTTGAGGGACAACTGAAGACATTGCTTTTAAACTGCTCGCTTCATAGGGATGTCAATTCTAATAAGGAGAGACCATTTCTTTCCAAGCAAAATGCTTGGAAACGTTGATAGAGCTAGGATTAGTTCAGGAGGAGCTGATTTCCAGCCGAAAAGGTTGAGGTTGGATTGGAAATAGTGGGAAGGTTATACTGAATGGTAGAACACAGAAGAAAACCTCATTGCAATCTCTGGTGACGGGTTGGCTGGCTTCTGTTCGTCAGCCGGCGACGTCGCCTTACGGCTGGATGGTCGTTAGCCTGATTGCTGAGCAGCAGGAGCATCCAGCCACGTGTGTTATTAGAAGCCATCCGGCAGGCGTTCGCCGCTGGCTGGTTGCCTTCCTCCGTTGGCTTTCGCTTAATTCACCTGCGTTTTTTAGAAAGCGTTTCTTCTCTTGCTTTCTTTCACGAAACGGACAATGCTCTTTGGTTCAACGCCTTCTCGAGAATTCTCTAGGTGCAATTCTCTCTGGCTGCTTCCGCAGTCAATTTGAGAGAACGAGGCTAATTGCCATCTTGGCCATGCTTTATCGCCACCTTCAGTGTACTGCTGCCGTATCTGCCCTTTCGTCCTCTTTTGCTTCTGCGTACTTTCATTAGGTATTCTGACTCAGAGCTCAGATCTCCTGCTTCTTTTTCACGCTTCCTCTAATTATCACTTGTATTCATGTCAGCTTGATTGTTGACAATTTGAGGTGCAATTGCAAGGCCTGCAGCCGTCGACGATCTACCGTGTCTCCGTTCGCACGAAACATCCAAAAGCTGTGCTCGAGCAGCGTCCCGTCGAACGGTGTCTCGACTTCAAGACTCTGCCAAAAAGTGAGTTCATCTCCCCTGATCCCTTATTGTTAGCTTCCCTTTTCAGCGCGTCAGGCTTTCCGGTGCAGGTCCGCGCGCTTGCTTTTGTCTTGCATTGTCTTGGCTCTACCACTCCACCACGTGAACAAGCCCACCCACATTCTCTCGCCCTCCGTCTGCACATCTCCCTGACAACATCCTGGAAACCACGAATCCCTTCTTCCGCCAGTGGCTTCTCATTCGTATTTCACGCATTAGTAGACGACACTCCTCTCACTCAGTTGTTCCATTCATTGCCTCGCCCGCGAGCTCGCCTCGTCTATTCTAGCCGGCAATGAGATCATTCCAGTGACGCTCCCCCAAGCTCGTGCCAGACTGAAGATCCCGCTTTGCGAAGACCACCGTCCGTGTTTTCCTCCCCCGTTCTGACGCATTAATGACCGTTCGTAGCCGGCCGAAACGCTTAACAAATTCGTTTATGTAGTCGTTTAGCCTATTCGCCCCCGTCGTGTGTCCAAAACCTTAACCATCGGAATCGCCGGAGGCGTTCGTGGACCTCATTAATGTCTGGAATCTTGAATTGATTAGAATGCCTCCAGTCAGGTGCCGTTGCCGGATGACAATGCGCTCCGCCCAGTGGTTGCTGATGCAAGCAGGCAACAACGCCACCGGCTTCCTCCCTGCTTGCCTACACTGTAGGCAGATATTCTTCATTTTGCTGTTCTTCGTAGGCGGACGAAGCCGTCCGTCGTAGTCGATGCATGCCCCCTATACATCACTGAAAAACCATCTGACAAGCTACGAAGGCTTAGGGCTTCCGATTCATTCTAACTGTGTCTTTTCTGCTGCTTCAATAGGATGCCGTGTAATTTGGGTCAGGGATGTTTTACTGCTACAGGTTTGGGGTTGTGGTCGGATCCTGGGATGAATCCTGCACACCTTAAAGGGACAACCCTAGGCAGAGGTCGTGTGAACGCTTTCCTTCGGTCTGTAGTATAGACCCCTAGAGGACAATCACAAATGTGGCGTTCCCGTGCACGGAAACCAACCGACAAGAGCGCTTGGGCCTTGCAAAGTAAGCTGCTGAAGCTGCAGATTTTTTCTCTTATCAGGCTGTTGTCTGGCGCTCTCTCATCTGTAGCGCTCTCGCCTCATACTCTCCTCTCCGCGCTTAGTCTCTCATTCCCTTAGCACAGCCGATTAGGAAGGTGAGTGAGCCCTTAACGCTAAGGGTTTTCG